AACCCTTCTCAGCAATGCAAGGATCTAAGACATCTCCAAAGGTCTCATGATGGAAAATGCTGTCCACATCCAGAGAAAGAACTATGGAGTTTGAATGCAGATGGAAGCATGCTATTTGCTCTTTTTTTTCTTCTGTTGTGTTTTGTTTCCTCTTTCTGGTGGTTCCTGCTATTGGTTCTAATTCTTCCTTACAACATCACTAATGTGAAAACATGTTTAATAGGAATGTATGCATATAGTCTATATCAGATTGTGTGCCATCTTGGGGAGGGAGGGGGAGAAAAATTTGAAACTCAAAAGCCTATAGAAGTGATTGTTGATAAATAAAAATAAATTAATAAAAAACTTTAAAAAAAAGGAATATCAGCCCCCCCATCTCCACCTGTCCCCTGGACATCAGCACTACCGCGATTTTTCCTCAGCTCCTTAACATGGCCTCAGTTGAGTTCATTATCATTGCCCTAAAGCATTTCCTTCTGTGTATGTGTGTGTTTTCATTGAGGCAATTGGGGTTAAGTGATTTGCCTAGGGTCACACAGCTAGTAAGTGTCAAGTGTCTGAGGCCAGGTTTGAACTCATGTCCTCCTGACTCCAAGGTCAGAGCTCTATTCACTGTGCCACCTAGCTGCCCCCATTTCCTTCTTTTGAAGTCATGATTTCTGTCTGTGGCACCAACATCAACCTAGCCTCCCACGTTAAAAAACAAACCAAACCCGGAGGCTTACCTTTGGCTTTTTCTTCTCCCTATATCTCATATGTAGTTTTTATCATTAGAACCTTCTGCTTACAAACGCATGAATATGTTCATGGTGAGTAACAGGGGATAGAAATCCCAGGATCATCCTGTTGGTTATATAATCCACCCAATATCTGCTTAATGGAAATGCCAAGCTCTTTGTGGTTCTCACAGTACTGGCAACATCCATTGAGTATCTCCACCTCCACCCACTGTCACACCCTGTGTGATAGTGATTGTCTATGTAGATTTGTTGAAGTAGTTTCTTGACTCATCCTCCACCTACTGGAAGACACTGCTTTTTTCCCCCTTTTTTTCTTGCTTCATTTTAATAGGCCCCCATCATACGAGCTTGGTAGAATGGAAAAGGGTTACATGCATAGTTTCAATATACATAGGTCTTTACTCATAACAAAGGAGCAAAAGGAACAAAATCAAATATTATTTAAAACAACTACCTGATGAACTGCATACCTGCAGCTCTTCCCAAACAGTCCAAATCACACAAATTACAGGGACCTAGTTCAATTGCTTAGACTCAGATTGCCCCATCAGCATCTCCTCCTGGATTCTGTGAAGCATTACTAATAATATCCCATTTGCAGCCTCTCAGAGAGTCAATGTCTAATCAGTTGAGGGAACTGAGGATCCAAAGTGCTGATTCCTCTTCTGGACTGGTTTTCCTCACTCATTATTCTGTTTCTGGCTGAGATCTCAACTCCAACCTTGCACCTGCTCTCCCAAAGGGCTGACTCATCAACTGGACTGAATAGAACTCTTGAGTCAAGCCTTAAGACTTGTTCATCACTCCTCAAGGGCAAAACAAAGTCATTCAGCTCTTTTGTCCTTGCACTCTCCTCAGTCATGCTGGTTGTGTTCTACATCATTTCTATGCCAGGCCCGCTAATTCCTCTCTTACCTTTCTCAACAGCAGAAGCTTGGTGGGTATGCCCATCTTCTGTGGATTTGTGGCAAATCCCACTCACTGTCTTCTCCTTCCTTGACCCCATGGAGGAGAGCAAGGAGAATATCCCACAGTTACTTACTAACTCTTAGAGCCACCATCTCTGTAACATCTCTTAGAACCTCCCCCCAACTTCCATTGCTTCCATCCTGGATGAGGCTTTCAGAATTGTTCACTTGGACTATAGCAGCAATTCCCCCTACCATCCATCTTTCATGCCTGGCCACATTAGTCTCATGCATAGATCAAGATCTATGTCAATTATTTTCTCAAAATCCACCACTGGCTCCCTATTGCTCAAGTTCAAACTTCTTTGTTTAACTTTCAAAGCCTTTCTCAGTTGGGCATTTCACCTTATATCAGCCTTTCCCTGGAGTACTCTTTGCTATAGATTCCACCCTTTGGACAAACTAGACTGTTCTTGGCCCTGGGACCCTTGGGCTCCTCTACTTCTTTTGCCTTTGCTCATAATCTGTCTCCTCTATCTGGAACGCCCTCCCCTCCTCTTCTTCATCGGTTGAATTTCTAACCCTTCTTTAAAGCCCAACTCAAATGCCCCCAACTCCAGGAAGCCCGCCATAGATCTTCCAGGCTGGCAACCATCCTGAGATCTCACCCAGCATTTTGTTTTGTAGTTTCGATGCATTTGTTATTGAATATTGCATATCTGCTTCTCTGTGCATTTGCCCGGGTCATTCTCCAAGGCAGAAATACACTTGCTCTTCCTCTCCGCCTGTCAAAATCCTCCTCTTCTTCTAGGGTTCAGTTCAGGGGTTACCTTCTCTCTGGAGTCTTCCCTGATCTTCCCCACTGAAAGCGCTTGCTCCTCCCTCAGATGTTCCTACAACCCTTTTTTTTTCTTTGTCTCCATTCTCCTCTGTCTGGAGTTCATCACCAGTATGCATAGACAGCCTTTGTCATGGCTGAGAGCTAGGGGCGGGCTACCTCTATCCCCAGCTCCAATCAGGATATACTTCTGCAAGGGTGATCAATACAGTCTTAAAATATTTAAGTATATGCACTTGACATGTAAGAGAGCAAAAAGAGACCTGAGCATTCTGCTCATCCCAGGGAAAGAAGAGGGCCTGAGAAAGTGGCAGGCGAAAGACAGCAGCAAGAAGCTGGTCTCCAAGGCCAAGGAAGGAGTGGGAGGCAGATAGCAGTTGGCTTTAGCCAATCAGAATCCCAGAATCACTCTCAGAGGCGGAGGCACTCTCAGAGGCATCCAGTCCAACCTTGACCTGAACAGGAAACCCCTCAAGCACCAAATAATGACGCCCCCCACCCCCACCCCAGCTTCAGCCTGAAGACATTCAAGGAGAGGGAACCACTGTGATTTATGGAGGAAACACATTTGGATTTGGACAGCTCCCATTGCTACCAAGTTTATCCTGACTTTCAGCCTCAGTCGGCCTCTGCAGCTTCCCCTTGACTTCCGGTTCTGCCTTCTGAGACTGAGCAGAATAAAGCTGATCCCTCCTCCTCAGGGCAGCCTGTCAGATACTCGAAGACAAGGCTCCCATCCCTCCTCAAGTCTTCTCTTCTAGCTAACCGTTCCTTCGGCCATTCCAATGCTTTTTGCAAGGTATGGTATCTAGACCCCTTTGGTTTACTCTCCCCTTTTTGGTGCCCTTCTCGCTCTCCCTTGTACCCTCCTTATTCCCCCTCCTCCTCTGACCCCTGTTTGAGAGAAGACAGTAATGAGAAGGGCCTGGATCTGAGAAGTGTGTGTATGTATGAGAGGGTTGCACTGTTCCAGGGATAAGAGCCTTAAGTTACGGAGTCAGGCCAAGGAGGACCTACAATGATGGACTCTCAGGGCCCAGCCTACATTGGGAGGAGGAGGAAAAGTAGATGATTTGGGAAGGGGTAGAGATTCTCTAGGCTCCAGGAAATACAACTTCCTTGAAGGCAGGGCCCCCAGCTCCCTCCAGGCCCCAGGGGCTAATGGACCATGAGGAAGCAGGAGGTTGACAACCAAGGCCCACAGGCTCACTGTGATCCACTGACCGGCTGGAGAGACACATAGATCAGTTCAGGGATCAGCAGAGAAGCTGAGAGATCCAGGGGCTGGTAGGTAAGATCGGGCATGGACCACATATATCCTGATTGGAGCTGGGGTTAGAGGTAGCATCGTAGATCAGTAGGCCAGCAGACAATTGTGCTTTCTCCCACACAAAGCAGCCCGTAGGATTCACAGAGCAGTCAATGGGATCCATGGATCTGCTTGAAAGACAGAGGGAAAAGTCAAAGCTGTGACCTGTAGGTCACTCATTCATAGACTAAGACACCCTCCCAATCGATGGGTTGCAGGGGTTATTAGACAAAGATGAAGAGCTGGCCATGAATCAATGGCCACGGAGGAATAGAAGTGAGCATCTACACGGATTCTGATAGAGATGGATCTATGCAGTAATTAGCAGGGAGAGGCAGAGGGGCCTCAAACCTGGAGTGAAGCCAAGGAGGACAACAGGAGTCAGAGGCCTGGACACAGCTTCTATGTGTAGACAGAACCATATGTGCCACATTTCCTTGTAGACTGGTTTCATTGGGACTGAAGGATGAAGAGAGAAATGGATGGGTTGTGAGTGTATGGATGTGATGGTGTGTTAGTACCTCTAAGAATGCCTCTATGTGCACAGAAGAGTGGGATTGTGTATCTATATGGGTTTAACTCTTTCCTAGTCTCTGAAGGTCCCCTCCTCCAGGAAGCCTCCCAGCATCCTTACTTATTGGTAACCATCCTCCCCCTGGCATTTCACTCTGATAAACATCTCCTGAAATAGCAGCTAGTCTAATTCTCTCTGCTGGTGTCATGAGATAAGAGGATCTGGGGCTGGGTGGGACCTTGACTATCAGCTAGTCTCACTTTCCCAGTTTACAGAGAAGAAAACATTGAAAGAGAAGAGACTTGCCCAAGGTCTCCTGATGCTCAAGCCTGGGGTCTTTCTGCCATATCAGGTTGCCTCAGAACGATTGGAAATACTTGAAGTTTGTATGCCCATTCTCCATATTCCTCTCCCCCCACTCTCTCTTTGCCTTTAAGCAGAGGAAAGAGTAAGGTCGAGTGAGAGGGCCCACTTTATAGAGACTCAGAGAGGGATAAGTAGTAAATAGCAGAGTCAAGGGTCAAACTCAGGTCTTCTAGCTCCCAAACAGTCCTAAGCCACTAAACCATGTGGTCCCTTTTTTTCTTTCTGGGATTTCCAGGCCACTTCACCTATCACCCCTGAGATCCTTGGAGGGTTCTAAGATGGACTCTGTACATTGACTTCCTGGTATGTTGCACAGGGTGGCCCCTTAGGAGGTAGAAAGCTCCTGAGGCAGGTTCAGCTGGACTCCCTCTGTCCCAGATGCATAGCTGGCTCCCACTGGGCCCTCAGACTCCATTGTGAAGAGGCGGCAGGTCCGAGAACCCCCTTCGGGGCCAGGGCTCGAGCGGCGGGAGGAGACAGGGGATGGAATAGGGCTCAGCTGTACAGCTGTTGTGTCTTGGACTGTGTGTTCACTGGTCTCCATCTCAAACGTGGCCCGGCCTGCCTGACCGGGGCCTGACCTCTTGCTTGCCTTGGCATGGCGAGTGCCAGGAGCAGGGGGCCGACGGCTACAGATACAGCAGGCACCGAAGAAGCCTAGAGCCAGGACAAGCAGGACTGGCCCAATGATGATGGGTGGGTTGTGGCCTGGCAGGAAGGTGGCAAAAACACCCACCAGGGTGATGTTGATGCCTGCAAGCATGATGCAGAGGCCACAGGCACAGCAAAGTGCAGGGGAGGGTAGGCCAGCTGGGCGAGCTTTCCTCAGGCTGCTGGGTGCCTGGCTTCCCAAGCTCTTCTCCCCAGCCATTGTCCTGGGGCCACCACTCAGGCATCAAGGCTTTTGGCTGATCCTGCAGGGAGATAGGGAAAATTACAGGATCACACAATTCAAAGTTGGTAGGAACCTCATAGACCATCTGGATGAGAGCTCCCTAACATTTTTTACATCATGGATGCCTTTCATGGCAAAGCCTGTTCTCAGCATAACATTTTTAAATACATAAAGTATAATACTTAGGATTAGGAAGGAAACCAATTATATCAAAATATAGTTATCAAAATAAAAAAAAAAACAAACTCACGGACCTTAGGTTTAAAAACTCCTGATCTCAATCACTTTATAGAGGAGGAAACTGGGGCCCAGAAAGGAGGAAAGGACTTGCCCAAGGTCATACAGTTAGTAAGTCTAATGAGGAGAATGGCCAATGAGAGCCCAGTCATAGGAGCTAGTGTATTTGGTGGAAGTGATGTCAAATGGAGGGTCCTGGCCCTCCACTTCAGAGCCTGTTCAGGTATTTGGTAACTGTCTTTTTTGTCCAGTTACTGGGTGGTGAATAGGGACCTTCCTTCTACTCAGGTGGGCTGATGAGTTAGAACTGAGAATCCATAGCAAGGGCTCTGCTGGAACCCCATCTGCCTTCTCTGCCTTTGTGGTTGGCAGGAAGGAAGAGAACATGAGTTGGTGTTGGCCCAGCCGCCAACTTTCTTCACCGTGCAGTGAGCAGACAAGACACTTCGCTGAATAGCTACTTGTGCTCTGAAGTGGATGGCTGAGCTATTCTCCTTGTTATCACATACTTCCAGAAGTGAGGTCACCAAATTACAAAAGCTTCTGGGACTATGCCCTTATTTTTCACCTCCCCCCTTACACAAGTAAGCAAATCCTACAAACAATGACCACAACAATAAGTTTAAAAAAAACCCAAGAAAAATGTTTTTTGAATAAGCAGACTATCACTTTATCAAGTAATAAAGGTTGATAACAGGTACATACCATCAGATTTGTTGAATGTATATAAAGTGATTAATTCAGAATAAAACTTAGGAAATAATTAAGTTATGAGAATAAAATCAAAAGTCTCTTCACGGGCAACAGCCACAAGGAATTCAGCTAACAATAAATATATCAACAAAAAGGAGGTCAAGAAATGACTGAATAGGGGCAGCTAGGTGGCACAGTGGGATAGAGCTCTGGCCTTGGAGTCAGGAGAACCTGGGTTCAAATCCAGACTCAGACACTTGACACTTACTAGCTGTGTGACCCTGGGCAAGTCACTTAACCCCGATTGCCTAAGCAAACAAACATACAAAAAATAAAAAACAAAAACAAAACAAAATAAAACAAAAAAAGAAATGACTGAATGGTATAGATTTGTTGGTAGAAATAGAAATTTATGACAGATATTCAGGACCTGATCTACATGATTTACCAGAGATTTCAGAAGGACTAGTCTTAAGGAACCCCAATTTAGTAATTAATGTAGATTATATGAGGAGATGGGAGAGACTGTGGAATACAACACTGAAGACTGTAAAAATTGAGTACCTCCTGAATACCTACAAAGACTTGACCTGATGACTAGAATTCTATCTCTTCCACTTACTATCTTTCATGGACAGATGACAAGTCCCATCTTAAATATACAGAGTGCCAAATGTCCAGGAGAGCTCAGTCAATAAACCAGATCATTCACACAGACTAAACTGGTTTGCTCAGTATTACCTGGATATAACATTTAGTCATAAAAATTTAGCAATAGCTTTCCTAGTAGATAGTATTAACTTAAATACTCACTATCTTTAAGCTACATAAGGAGGGGAAACTTTCAAAGAATAATAGACCTGGCCAAGGAAATCAAAGTCTTGTGGGAACAGATTTATGTCGTCTCTGTTGACCTGTCAGCTACTAAATTCTCCAGAGGATGCTCTCTCTGAGCTCTATGTGTTTCTAATACTTTTATTCAACTAAAAAGTTATTTTATCCATTTGTGCAAGTCTTTAGAAGATTGAATGTAAATAAATAATAGCAAGGAATCAGTTTGTTTCAGGGCTGTTTCTACCTGAATTCCATTGAAAAAGATGGGAACAAGATGATGATGATGATCCTTGACTCCTCACTATCTCTCACCCCTCCCATTCCCACATCCAACCTGTTACCAAAGCTTATCAATTTTAATTTCATAGCATCTCTTGAATATGTCCCCTTCTCTCATCTGACACTGCAGTCATCTTGGTGTGGGCCCTTATCACCTCCCACCTGGATTATTGCAGTGGCCTCTTGGTTGGTCTGCTTGCCACAAATTTCTTTGCCACTCTAGTCGATCATCCACCTAGTCATCAAAGTGATTTCCCTCAAGTACAGGTCCAACCATGTCACTCCCCTACTCAATAAAATCCAATGGTCCCCGATAACCTCCAAGATAAAATATGAAATCCTCTACTTGGCATTCAAAGCCCTTCCTAACCTAGCCTCCTCTTTCCTTTCCAGTCTTTTTATACCTTATCACCACCCTCTCCAGCTCCCATGTATACTTCCATCTAGCAACCCTGGTCTCCTTGCCTTTCCTTGAAGAAGACACTCCATCTCTTGGCTCCAGGCATTTTCTCTGACTATCCATCATGCCTGGAATGCCTTCCTTCCTCGTCTCCACCTCCTGGCTTCCTTAAGTCTCAGCTAAAACCCTCCCCTCTACAGGAAGACTTTCCCAATCCCTTTTAATTCTAGTGCTTTCTCTTTGCTGGTTATTTCTTATTTATCCTGTATGTAATTGTATTTAGTTGTTTGCATGTTATTTCCCCCATTAGACTATGGGTTCCTCAATGTTAAAGTCAGTCTTTTGTTTCTTCTTTTTTGGCAATCAGGGTTAAATGACTTGCCCAGGGTCATACAGCTAGTAAGTATCTGAGACCAGATTTGAATTCAGGTTCTCCTCACTCCAGGGCTGGTGCTTTATCCACTGTGCCACCTAGCTGACCCCAGGGTCAGTCTTTTGCCTTTCTTTGTCTTACTAGGGGTTATTGGGGTGCTCCTTGGGGGCAGGGACTGTCTCTTACCTTTCTTTGTATCCCTAGTCCTTAGCCCAGTTTTCTGTCATTTTTCAGTTATACCCAATTTGGGGCTTCATTTGGGATTTTCTTGGCAAAGCTCATTTTATAGATGAGAAAACTGAGGCAAATGGGATTAAGTGACTTGCTCAGGGTCACAAATCTAGTAAATGTCAGGCCAGATTTGAATGCTTAATAAATGTTGAGTTACTGAATGATGATAGTTGACATTTAATTTGGAAACCCATCATAACCAGACTCCAACCTTCCTTTCCCTTTCATGCAATCTACAGCTCAACCAAATTGACCTTTTTTTTCTGTTCCTTACACACAACATTCAATTTCCCACATCTACAATGCTCTTCCTCCTCATTTTGCCCCTTAGAATCCCTAATTTCCTTCAAAGTTCAGCTCAAGAGTCATCTTTCTTATAAGAGGCTCTTTCAAGATTCCCACAGATGCTAGTGTCTCCCACCACCAAATTCTCTTGCCTAGATGCTGTATAGCACATTTTCCCTCTCTGAGGTGGGACCCAGTGCTGGTAGGAACTCTGGCTGGACTAGCTGAAGTTCCACCTCACTTGACATCCTAAGACATGAGAGGCAGTGTGGTGTAGTGGATAGAGAACTGGTCTTCTGAGGAAGTCCTGGGTTCAAATCCTGCCTCTAATATAGACTGCCTAAAAATCCCACCTTCTACAGGAAACCTTTCCCAATTCCCCTTGATGCTAGTACCTTCTCTAACTAGGGCTAGCTGATAATCTCCAATTTATCCTGTCTATATCTTAGCTGTACAGGTTGACTCCCCCGTTAGACTGTGAGCTCCTTGGGGGCAGGGACTGTCTCTTGCCTTTCTTTGTATTCCTAGTCCCTAGCCCAGTTTTCTGTCATTTTTCAGTTACACCCAATTTGGGGCTTCATTTGGGGTTTTCTTGGCAAAGCTCATTTTATAGATGAGGAAACTGAGGCAAATGGGATTAAGTGACTTGCTCAGGGTCACAAATCTAGTAAATGTCAGGCCAGATTTGAATTCAGTCTTCTTGACTCCAGGCCTGGCACTCTATCTACTTTGCCACCTAGCTGGCCCTTGGTCCAGTTAGGCACTTAATAAATGTTTGTTGACTGACTATGTGACCTTGGGCACATCATTTAATCTTTCAGTAGCCCAGGCAAATCTCTAAGACAATAAATTGCAAAAAGGGTGCTGAGATCAGCTGCATTGACTGAGAAAATTCCCTATCAGGAGCTCTTTATATTGATGCCCCCCACACATAGGTGTGTATGTATTTTTATATATCTGCATGTACTTTTTCATGCTAGTAAATCCTTGAGCATAGAGACTACCTCACTTTTGTTTCTGAATTCCCCTTGCTCATTTTAGTGCCTGACACATCAGATGTGGCATTTGAATCCTGATTTTTCTGACTACAAATCCAGTGCTGTGGGCAACTAGAGAAATGGGAAGGTTTTCCTTATACTTTTTCTAAGTTTTTTCCTTCTGAAACCTGCTTTCTCTTTCTCTTATGACCACCTGTCTCCACACACTCCAGACTATAAGAGCATTTTCCTGAGGTTTATTAGTGCAATGGTGTGCCCCAGTGAGACTTTAAAAAAAAAACCAAACCAACCACAAAAGGTCAAGAGGAACAAAAAAGACAGATGTATTGAAAAATAAAGGTGAAGAACTCCGTGTCTTAGAAGGAATTGGAGGCTTGAATAATTCGATTGCCTATAAAGAAGCCATAAAAGACAATAAAGTTGCCTCTGCATTCATACTCCCTCCCCCGCCCTCCTCACTGGCATCAGATTTCAAAGGCAGGTTGGAGAGTGTAACTGGCTGAATCAGAACTGCATAAGCCTAAGAAGAGTCTCTGGCTAATAATGGCCCCAAAGCAAGAAGGATTGTCAAGGAGGTGAAGGTAGCTCTCTCCCACCTCCTGCTTGGAGGTGACAAACCCAAGAGCTAACATTTTAAGGACTCTCT